AGGGGAGGAGCCCAGTCTGAGTAGGCTAAACCCCAGTCTTCTTTGGTGGGTAAGGGAAGGAAACATTATCCTGTCACTATGGTTTGGTTACCTAACGCTGCGTAAGGGCACAGAACAAAAACCATTTTATTATGCTCATGGTTCAGTAGGTGGGAAGTTTGGGCAGGGCATAGAGGGGATGGTTTGTCTTCGTTTCCCAGGGTCTGGGGCCTTAGCGAGTTGGCTCAAATGGTTGGAGATGGCAGGGACAGCTTGATTGGAGTAATACGTCTGGAGTTTTGGTTCTCTATATAGTGTCTGCTGGGACTAGAATGTCCGAGATGGCTCCTTCACTCAGATGTGCGATGTCTGGGCTGGTATGGTTGAAACAGCTGGGATCTGGCCAGCATGGTTCACTTTCTCCACGTGGCCTTCCCATGTGGCTTTAACTTCTCACAGCATGGCAGCAAGGTTCAAAGTGTGGGAATCCCAAGAAATCGGTGAAAGTTGTAAAGCTTTTATGACTTGGCCTTAGAAGTCCCAGGCTATTACTCCTGCCACATGACACCAGGTCCAGCTCATATCCAAGAAGGGAATTAGGCTTCACCTCTTGGTATATCGTGCAGTATGGATCTATACAGACGAACAGAGTTGATGACAGCCATCTCGGAGACTGTTCAACATAGTCCTCACCCCAACCCAGCTACCACAAATCACATACCTTCCATGGAATTGACTTGAAGTCCAGGAGCCCATCAAAATCAGGCACAGGTGGGTGAGGCTCCTTGATTGCAACTCTTCTTCATCTGAATAACTGTGAATTAAAGAGACAAGTTATTTGTCCCTTCCCTGCCTTGTTGAGGGTCCCCAAGACCACCACCAGGTTTGATGATTCACTAGAAGAACTCACAGGACTCAGCATATAGTGATACTCATGTTTAAGGTTTATTACAACAAAAGGATACAGAGCAAAATCAGCTGGACAATGTCCAGAGTCTTCTCCCAGAATAGTCACAAAGACATGCCTAATTTCCTCCCCAAAATGAGTTGTGAAACCACATGTGGAATGTTGCCAACCAGGGAAATTCATTGGAGATTCAATGCCCAGGGTTTCTACAGAAGGCTAGTCATGTAGGTAGCCTTTGCCTGACATGCACCCAAATTGCAGACTCCCAGAAGGTGTTCAACATAAACCATATTATTTGTATAAACAGTTTAGCCATAGAGAGCCACTCTTATCAGTTAATGGTGGGAACCTTCCTGAAATCTAGGTTCCCAGTTGCTAGCCAAAGGCCAGTCTTATAAGCAAAACTTTCTAAAGATAAATAGTCAGGTCTGCTATGTTAACTCCTTTTTGCACACTGGCCAACATGTACTGGTAATACAGGGACATCATAACTACAATAAACACTCCCACTTAAAAAAGTGGAGGGAAGAGGGATGAGAGACACATAGCTGTCACTGGTCCATAGCAATTTTGAAATCTATCCAGGTACAGGTTTCTAGTTCCTCAACTAAGACCCAATCCTGCTCCATAGCAGTGTTTCTCAGCTCTTCCCTCTGGGCTCTGGGCTCTGCACTTAGTCATTCTTCCTTTTCTATAAGAGATAGCTTGTGTTTTCAATGATTTGCTTTTTCAGCCTGTTTCTTTTTCACATAAACTTGGGTGTCCCAAGGCTTCTTTTCATTTTGAATTAGCTTTGTTATTTTTAATCCAAGTTGGTAGTGCTTTTACTGACACAATTCTGTTAGCACCATTGTGAATTTTCTGTTAATAGTACTTAAGTTCACACTATTAGATAAAAGCCACATCCTAAAATAGCTTAAGACAATCATCTCTTCCTAGGGCTAAGAATCAAGATATTCTGAGATAATGCTCTTAAAAGTCATAGAGCCTTTTTGTCTAATTGGGAGTGTCTCTGAAGCATACCCTTCAATGTTACATCTGTTCCATTAGCTGAAAAAAATCTTGAAGTAATTTTTACCCAGAAGTCATACTTTACTTGAAGTGTGCTGAATTTAATCTTTGCTATTAGTCCATAGCCTGCTTTGAGAGTCTTAAACTGGGAGAGACTGGGGATTTGAAATAGTTCTATTTTTGAACCTAGCAATTTTTGGCTCTTTTATAGTCCCTCCAAAGTCTGCTTGACAATTGAACAATTTCTTCTTTAATTCAACCCCTTTCTTGTACTTTGTCTTAGACAAATAGAAGAAGCCAATGGTAATTTCAGCATACTTATTGGACATCTCCTTAGCCACATCCACAGGATCACTAAGTATCCTTTCTATTTTTCATTAGATTCTCTTTCTAATTTTAACACTTCCTCAGGCAACACTGCTGTCAAGCTTTCTGACACTATAAAACATTGGCCACCTTTTATGCAACTGCATAAATTTTCTAGGGGTGCTATAATATGTTGTCCAAAACTAGGGGGCTTAAACAACAGAACTGGGTGGCTTAACAGCAGAAATTTATTTTCTCAGAATTTTGGAGGCTAGAAGTCCAAGATCAAGTAGGATTGGTTCCTACTAAGCTGCGAGGAAGAATCTGTTTCATTCCTCTCTCCTAGCTTCTGGTGGTTTGCTGGCAATTGTAGATATTCCTTGGCTTGAAGACCCATCACCTTGATCTCTGTCTTCCTCCCTATGTACGCGTTTTATATAAAAATTTCCCCTTTTATAAGGGTACCAGTCATATTCAATTAGGTCCCATTCTAATGACCTCATTTTAAAGGGATTACCTCTATAAAGGCTCTATCTCCAAATAAGATCACATTCTGAGGTACTGGGGTTAGGACTTAAGCATATGAATTTTGGGAGGGACACAATTCAACCCATGAACTTCAATAACAATTCCCTACTGTCCTTTAAGCCTTTACTTGAACCATTTTAGCTCCTGCTCACTGCCTGTCCAAAGCCAATAGAGCACATATATTTTGTCAGCTGTATCTAACTTCACCAATGTTAAAAGCAGTTAGGGGCAGATCGGGGAAGCAGCACCACTGTGGAAGGCAGGATTTATTATAGAGATTATATACATCACAACTGCAGGAGAAACTAAGGAAGAAAAGGTCTAGGGGATGAGAGAAAAGTGATTAACTAGGGGTCACAGAGAAAGCTGGTGAAAATGTCTATGGAAGTCTATGTCATCTCTGCATCCAGAAATTGATAGGTCATCATGGCTAGCAGTCAGAAAGAAAAGTCAGATTGAACTGGGGGCAGGGGGAGTGAGAATGAGTCAGAATCCACAAGGACAGACTGGAACCCATAAGGACAAATGGAACCCCTAGCTGTCACACTGTGATGCAGGTAGCCTGCAGACATTGATGTCCTTTCCCCATATATGCCTTGCCCTAGGGCTTGGAGAAGATGAAATAGGAGATGTGACGGGAGATGGAGGAGCGGGGGTCTGGCTGCTGCTCTGCACCAACCATATGTGCAGCAGACCTGGTATCTACACCAACCAGCAGAGCACAGGGTAGTTTCATTTGTTCCTTCCAAACCTTACCGAACTTCTCTTGTGGCCAATCCTGTCCTGGAACCAGACTGGGAAGGGAAACTTGGGAAACTAAATTCCAGCTTAGCTAAACTGGCACAGTACAAAACGACCACATCAACGGTCGCCAGATACCATGATGCTGCGTCCCGCATACCTTAGTTTTTCATTTACGCCTCATAGCAGTTTTGTAAGGTAAATATTAGCACCCCCTTTTTATATATTAGGAAATGAAGCCTTGTATTTGCTCCTAGATAAGCAAATGGTGGACCTGGATTCTGCCCCACAGCTGTGTGGTAGCCAGCTTCCAAGACGGCCCAGGGATTTTACCTACTGGTGTTCATGCTCTTTTGTAGCTCCCCTCCCACGTTAACTAGGTCTGACCTGAGCACTGGGAATATTGCAGAAATGATGGTGAGTGGCTTTCAAGGCTGGATCATAAAAGACATTGCGGCTTCTATCTTTCTACCTTTCTCTTTCTAGGATGACGTGCTGGGGAGTGTGTGAGTGAGTGAGTGTGTGTGTGTGTGTGTGTGTGTGTGTAGGGGGGAGAGAGCCACACAGTAAGGATACTCAAGTAGCCTGTGAGCAGACCCACAGGGAGGAACTGAAGCCTTTTGTGAACGAGTACAGGTGGGTGAATTATATTGGAAGTGGATCCGCCAGCACCAGCCTAGCTTTCAGATGACGACAGCCCTGTATCCTCACTGAAATCTTCCAAGAGACCTTGAGCCAGAACTATGCAGCTAAGTGGCTTCTAAATTTTGGACCCATAGAAAATACAAGATGTTTATTATTGCTCAAGGCTGTTAAATTTGGGGGTAATTAGCTACACAGCGATAGGTAACTAATATGGCCTGTTAGATTCCAAAGCACAGCTTTACCCATGACTTCATTCCGCTTTAAAATTGGTTTGGGTTATGAGAATGGGGATTGGGGAAGATGGAGGAATTTGGTAGTTCAGAATGTCCTGGTTATATGATTAAAAAAAAAAAAAAAAGCTTTCAAATATCTGTTTGGGTTTCCAGATACTGGGAGAGAAGGTGTCATCTAGTGGTTAAGCCAAACCGTGAGAATTAGGAGGGTTTCTTTTTTCTGTCACTACCCAGGGAAAGTGGAGCCCACATGAAGGTAGAAGTCAAATCACGTGCTTCTGCTGCCTAGCAGACTCGGCTGGAGTTGGGGAAGAAAAATGATAGAAACTGCGTTCTGGCAGGGCCAGCGCGGGACAGTCCCTCTGCGCCTGCCCCTTCCCTTCAACTAGGTCATCCTCTCCTCGGCCCCACCACATTCCCCGTGGCCCCAAGCTCATTGAAGCAGCCCCTTCCTTTCCTGCTCTTTCCAAATTCCTTTTCCCTGTGACGCACTTTCCCTTTTTTATAGGTATGCATGTGTGCATTTAGGAACATCAGAGAGGAACAACCTCGACCTTTATCTGCGAGCCATCTCCTTTTGCAAACTCTTGGTACTTGTTCGGATCTGGTCTTGGTCAGCGAGGCGCGGCGCTGTGCCTGGTGACCTAACCATGTTGGAATCGCCAGCACCAATTCTCCCAAGACGCAAGCACCAGGAGAACCTTGCCAGAGCATCTGGTGCCACCATGTTCACTGCACATGTGGGAAATCTGAAGCCAAAGAGCTCAAGTTACTATGAACAGACATTCGTTGACCAGCTCCAGCGAGGAGGCCTCTCCCCTGGCCTTGGCTACTGTGAAGAGGCCCACCCACTCCGATTAGCAGGCGGGTGGAACGACTTGCTGCGGTCCTCCCAGACTTTCAGGCAGGCTCAGAAACACCAGAACAGCAGCCCAGCCCAGGCCAAACCCTCCCTCCATTGTAAACTGACCCTCGCCTGCTGAGGGTTGAAGAAAGGGCTGCCTGACTCCTCGTCCCAGCGCACCTAGGCCTCCCCGCGCGGCAGGGAGGTCTGCGGGGCGCACGGCCCGCCCGCCGCGCCTCGGCCTCCCATCCCCCACACCCCTCGCCCCTGGGGACCGCACTGGCGCCGGAGCCCCGGCCCGGGCTTTTCGGGATCTTGTCCAGTCTCCTTAGACGGGGACGTGGTCCCCGGGGCAGGACCAGGGCGCCCGTTTCCACGGCGGGGCGCCGGCGGAATCCGGGGTGCTCGCTCGGACTCTCCGGCTCCCCCTCGGGAGGGAGGC